GGCTTGTTTTACAACGTCGTTGCCAAGCGACGAAAACCCAACCCCGATGGCAAACACCGAGGGGGGGCATGCGGTTAGAGGGGGGGGGTTACATGGACGAAATATAAAAAGGTATGAAAAAGACCTTGGGCGCGGAAACTACTGCAGTGCCGCGAGATGCGAAAGCCCGTCAGCACTACACTGTTATACAGTAGTGACGTCCTCATGGGAACCCACCGACACCCTCGAGGACAAGAACGGAACAGAAAACGATCAACACGTATGCATTACGTAAAAACGAAAGAATTTGGCGCCGTTTGTTGGACGCGCTGCTGGAGGAAATAACGGCGTATCTGCTTGGCCTGCCTGCCCGAAACGTTGAGTTTGATCAAAATGGGACGAGATAAGCTCTTCGGGAAAGAAACAAAGTGCTCTCCGAGTGTAGTTTGTAGCCAAGCCACTTTTCGGAACAACATCGTACATACCTGGACCGTGTGCTGGTTGAGGCGGAGGGAGAGGGTCTTGAGGAAGCTGGCAAAGTGGCTCAAAACCTCCTCGTCCTCAAGCCGGAAGTCGAACATGATCATGTCGTTCACGTGGTTGTTCGACAAGAGGTAGAAGAGCGACCTGCGCGGGACGTCGTCGTGGTCGCAGCGGGGGTGGACAAATCGGGAGACTAGGGTCGGTGCAAAAAAAAGCACACGAAAGAACGAGAGAGAGCGGGTACGATATGTGCTGCTGGACGAAACATCACCAAAAAAGCTTTTCAACAACCAACAACGCCTGTACATGTGGAAGCTCACGTCCGAATGCGGTTGGTTCACGAAACGTGCGATGTGGACTCGTTAGCCCCGTGTGCGGTTCATCGGTAGAGCACGACGGGGTGTGAAACTCACGAAAGCGAAAGGAAACACTGGTGAATCGATGCCACCAAACAAAGAAGCAACATGCCAAGCGTTGGTCGTTTCGCTGATGGAAGCCATATAAACAAATACATAAGTGGGGATTGTCAACACAAGCACGTGCCACCGGATGAACGTACCATGCAGTTCGTGAACGTCCCCGCCTACACAGCTATTTCTCTCCCCCTCGCCCCCTTCCCCACTCGCACGCCCCCTCCCCCCCTACTCAGTTCCTCCACGCTCCACCGCACGCCCCACAATCTCCGCTCTCTGACTTACGTATCGCTCTTGACGTTCATGACGAGGATGCTGATGGTCTGGATCACCTGCACCTGCACTTCGGCCGAAGACCTCCCTTCCCCACCTCCCCCTTTCCGCGCCTCTCGCCCTTTGCTAGCCACGGGACCCCCCCCTCCCCCCTTGCCCCCCCCAACCGCCCGCCCTTTCCCTTGCGCGTCTCCCCCCCAGGTGAATGCGCGGATGACAGCATCGAGGCCGCCGTTGTTACCCCACGACGCGGCGGACTGAGAAGGGTCGCCACCGCCTCTCCTGTCGCCGCCGCCGCTACCGCTGCCTCCTCTCCGGAGATAGCGCGAGGAAGGGGAGCGAAGTAGTTCCAGGAACCTACTCATCATGTTCTTCTCGCTTTTTTTGGCCAAGGGGGGCGGGCGGGCGGGGTGGGGTGGGGGCGCGGAGGCACCGCCGATCGATCAATTCGTTTTCGTGTCAGTTGTTGGGCTAAGCGCGGGGTTGGCACGGATGGGCTGGAGGACAACACGTTCAGCGCTGGAGATTTTCAACATCATTCTGTGTTGGTACTGCCGAACATCGTTTGGGATAACCCCCACCTTCCGTTCCCTCCCCACCGGCCCCTCTTCAATTCCAGTCGAGTAGTCAGTCTTCTACGATGTCTTGGACGGGCATACCATCCCCGCCTCCCTACCCGTGCTGTGAAAAAAACGCCGCCAAGGACAGTGGGGGCGCCTACTCGTGTGCTACCACTATTGAAAACACACGACGGTACCAGAAGGAATATTCTCGTATATTGAGACGTGGACAAGGCTGCACCTACATCATATTTGTTGGCGTGAACGGCACGAACGTAAGTCCTTGACGCTGCGCGGCCGCTTCGAAACAATCGAGTAGGCCAACACATGCATCAGAGCACACACACATATGCAAAAAACGATACGCAAGTGGAAATTTGCGTATGTCGCGCGGCATGATCATAACCCTCCACAGACACGCCTCCAGCCACAGACACGCCTCCAGCCCAACTGAAACCTCCCGCATTCTCTCTCTCTCCCTCTCTCTCCCTTACCAGAAGAGCTCGAAGAACGCGTCCTCTCGCCGGACGTCCGTCGTCAACCCCTCCAGCACGGGTGGGGGAGAATTCCCCGGAGTGAACTCCCCGGGGCTCCCTTCGGCCCCCTTGGGGGGCGGTCTCGTGCCGCTACCCTCCACGGCAGCCTTGCCGCCGCCGCGGGCGTTGCCGGCCGCTATCGGCTGCCGGCGGTAGGCATAGTGCGCGGACGGGGGCAGGGCGCGCGGGGAGTTGTAGTGAGCACCGGAAGAGGCATCTCCATGCCGGGAGGTGGGCGGGCGGGCGGGGAACCAACGGCGAGGAGGGCTGGCCGGGTTTCGTTGTTTTTTCTGTGCCGAAGCGAAGCCATACGAATGTTCTTCTCGCCTTGCAACCCAAACATCTAGCTCATGTGTGTACACGTACATCGCATGCATGGGTGTTATGGTGAAATAACGCACGTATTTTTTTTCTCCCATCATTGGACTCTGTCGTCTGCCCCTCTGGCCCCTATCCTCCACTTCTACCAGCTAGACGACCCAACCGGGGTGACATAGGAGGGGGGGGTGGACCCCCTCCTGCGGTTCCACGTATGTAGCTGGATGGAAGCCCGGCCCGAGCGCCGGGCACGCACATGCTTTGGCGCGCCACAATAACATACCCGCCAGCTGCTGCTCGAACGCAAACGCAACATGTGGTCTTGACCTCCTTGCGGATTTTCGTGCAGCAAACAAAACCAACAAGGAGGATTGCAATAAATTGTCTTGTCGACTCTCTTCCGCGAGCCTAGGCACGCACCTTTTCCTCAAGCACAGCGGCGGCAGCGGCGGTGGCCGTGGTGGCAGCACCAGCAGCAGCGGCAGCGGCCTCCTCTTCCTCTTCCTGCTTCTCCTGAGCCTTGGCCGCTGCTCGCGCCGACAGTTTCGCGTCCTGGTTCTCCCCATACACCACCACCTCCGAGATGGCTACAAGCGACGGGTGGCACAGAGTACAGGCGAGGGTACGTGGCAGGGACAGGGGAGAGAGGGGGGATGGGAGAGACAGCGAGAAAGAGAGAGAGAGAGAGACGGAGACAGAGCGAGAGAGAGAGAGAGATAGAGAGAAAGGTAATCGGTGGATGAGTGCACGCGCAACGGAACACTTGAACTACGAAGAGGAATGCAAAAGCGCGCCGGAAGCGACTCAACTACTGGGAAACAGAAAGGAACCAACACACGGTGCTACACTAGTCTCGATCAAGACGCGTGGTTACGCAAAATGATGCCACAACGAAATAATATCCCTCAACACCGAGCAAGCTCGGGGACAAGCCCTCCCCCCGTCCAGCCCCTCCTCCCCACAAGTACCACTTGCGAGGCAAATTGTTTTCTTTTCCTCACGCTCACCTCGAAGCGTCTCTACCACGGTGGTCTCCCCCTCCACCTTCCCCTCTTGCGCGTCGATTAATCGCTGGAATAGCACTCTCAGGTGTCCCAGGGAGTACGGCTCCGGCGCTTGCTGTTTCCTTCGAGCGTTGCCCCCTCCCTTCGCGTTTCGACCGCCGTCACCGACGGCACCGCCGCCGCCGCCGTTGTTGCTCCCCCGCGGAGACGGACCGGCCCATGGCACGCTGGGGACCGATCTCCAAAACATGGCTTCGACTGCTGTTGTATGGAGGGGCCGGTATGGAGGGGAGGAGGGCGTTCGGGGGACGTACAGTAGAGAATACACACACGTGCACACGTAGATCTGGAGTCCTGGTTGATCCTGTACGATACAATCCAAGCCTCATCCGTAGCGGTGTTGAAACACCTTGGAGCGTACCTGACTGACCATTGGCTTTCGACATCGCGCGATGTATACTTGTAGCAGCAGTTCTTACCACAGCGGCCCACCTAGCATGGAAAATCCACATGGTCATGGAATGCAACATGCAGCTATTTCCCCGCGACGGGCAGTGTGGGCGACGCATGAGTGGGTGCCGCACGGGCTGTGTGCCATCATACTATAGTCGGCACCGTCAGGTACAACGCCAACTTGAGGTCAGGTCATGGGGGGCGCAATCCCAATTTGGTCTCTTGCCTTTATCCGAACACCAAAGCTTTTGCAACTGATACTGATTCTTCACACGGGAGCCAGTGCCCGCTTTTACAGGTAGCAAACCGTCTCGTCGTTGGTGGCTTCCTAATGACCAATCCACCCAATCTGGGTTCTGCAGGGCCTGTGTTTGGGTGCCACTGCTGCTGTTCAACGCTAACACGGGGGCGGTAGTGGTGTGCTACTGTTGTTGAGGCTGAAACTCCTCATGCTGCTGGTGGTCCATTTCGCCTTGGCATGGATTCTCACCGTTTTCTGCAGCCAGATGTGGTATACCGCACCTTTTAACACATAGACTTACTTGTGAAGACTTGAAATGAACAATCACGAGCTGAGCATTTACGTACATGTACCACTGTTGATAAGCAGTATTGCAGAGCTGTATGCTACGCTCTCGTGTTGATGTTTTTGTCCTAGATTTTCTCCCACTAGGACGAGCTGCTGCTGCTGCTGCCGGTTCACGGTGAGGGCCGTCGTCGTTGCTGTTGCTAGACCAACGGGAGGTGGGGATGTTCGCGTGCTAGAACAGACAGCAGTGTTATTTGCCCGTGTTCCAACAGCTGAGCGACGACGATACCCAAACCAGAAGCAAGCGGGGTTACTTGCTGTTAATGTTCGTTGTTCCTGCTGCTACAGCTGAACCGTCGGCAAGCGTGCAGAAAACGTTTTTACCTCTTTCGCTCATCTGCCCAAACTCGAATTCAATCTCAACAGCAGCAGGCTCCACCGGCAGCATACCACGCAACACGCGTTACCACAAAACATACGTTACCACGCGACATGAGTAGTATGCATACACTTCTCTCGGGCAGGCCTGCTAACCTCAATGTTCAGTGACAACATGTACGTGGATAACACTCGCAGTTCCATAACGACAACGACATGAACATGGTTCAAGGCGCGAAACGGTTTGGCGTGGCTTTCTCTCTGTATAGGCGAGGTGCACGATCTTTAGAGAGAGGTGGGCCCTCCTGCCCAGCACTGCCCAGCAGCACGAACAACTGAACCTTTTGCATGCATATGATATGCTGGTACTCGACACAAATGGCTACAAAGGGAAGTGTTTCTCGCAGACGAACTCCTAAGAGACAACGCGCGCACACAATCAACGTCTCCGTACAACAAGAGCTTGTGGTTTGAAAGGTTGAACGCACACTTCAAGACGAAAACGAGTTCACACTGCTGCTTTCATGGTGTCGTAGCAGCGTTAGTTCCCTGCCCCGCGCTTGCACCAGGCGCGTCTTACCGCTGGTGGAGAGAGTAGCTGTCCACGCGGAGAGTTGTGACGCAACCTCGATCGAGGTCTCACAAGGTCGTGTGTCTCGGTTGAAGTCAGCAACTGCCCGCAGTGCTTCTGAGGCGACCCTTTTGCTCTCGTGCAGCTCCTGCAGCTCCAACACACTTTGGCCAAACCAGCGTACGCTGGGTGGTTGGTCGGGACCCTCTCTCTCCTCCCTTCCTTTTGGGCGCTGCTGCTGTGTCGAAGCACTCCAGAGCGAATCGATTCATCTTGGAATCGGTCAAGGGGGGCTCGCGCTCCAAGCCTTGTTTTGCATCTCAGGTATGCCTGCATACCTTCGATATTCAACCGCTGAGCCCCGGGGTTTCATTTGAGGAGAAACCAGAAACGGGTATACCCGGATAGTTTCTCACCATTTCAGGGTACAGTTGGAAATCAAAACGACACCAATCTCCGACAGCAATCGCCGTAGATCGCGGCAAAACCAATAAACCGCTGTCTGTGTCCTATTTAGCCCTGCATGATGCACGAGGCAGGTCGTGCCCGTTTTCTCTCTCTCTGTGCCTCTCTCTCTCTCTCTCTGTTCTTTTACCGATCAGTACCACACCGAAGTACTCGCGCGTCAAGCGAGTCCGACCCTCTATTGAGAAGGGCCGGTATCCTATGGAGGCGGTGCCCATGAACGATGAACGAGCGAGCGTTGTTGGTGGTTTGGTTACAGTCTATGTATGTGTGATACACGGCGGCATGTGCGGCACACGTGTTTTTCTGCGGGTTTTATGCTAGAGCGTTGGGCGCCGGGATTATATGACCATTTGATTTCTGGTTACAAAATTGACCTCTTCCGGGTACACCAGTAACCAACACCGGTCACACACCAGAGGGTCCTAATTCCAGCGGAAGTTGTACCTGATGGAGGTTTCTTCAGAAATGGGCACAAATAGTTTTTCGGCCAATCAGCTGACAGCCTGGGGATGCAAGCGTGTAGATTTCTAACTGTACCCTAAATAAAGTGGTGATAAAAAACCCGGGTATTATACCCGTGTCTGGTTATTATTGGTCTTGTCATTTTTTTTCACGTTTGTTTGGACATTTTTTTAGAAGTAAACACAGCCTCACAGAAAGACTACCCGTTCGAGATATGACCTCAGTCGAAAGGGATGTGGTGAAGTCTTTTCAGTGGATTGAAACCAACTAGAGACTCGGCTTATTTTGAGTTGAAGTCTAACACTGAGTCATCACGTTTGGACATTTACATTTCCATTTCCTCCCCCGAAGCACGAGCAGCCAGATGCGGTGGTGCACAAGCTGGCCGCCCAAACTGTCTTGCTGAGCCCGGCACCCACAGGGAAGATATAGCTGTGTGGTGGTTGGGGAGTAGCACTATATGACATCATCATGTCTTTTTGATGCACGCTACAAAGAAAAACAACAAACAATAGACCGGTAGTAGTCTAAATAAATACCATTAGACTAGTTGTTGGGGGGTGTGTGTGCTGAGAAGGTAAGGAAACCATTGCCCTGAGTAAGGTTGGTTGTGGCTCGCTGCCCGAACGTTTCTCTCCAGCGCTGCAATCAGTATTGCTTGATGAGTGATATTGTGCAATTAGACTAATTGTTTGAATGAAAAAAATAAAGTAAAAAGAACGTTCCGGACTGCACTCAGTTCGGTCAGCATGTATTCAATCAAAGACAAGGTACCACGCCAAATGGTAGAAACGATTGATGCACACTGATGACGGAAATATTTTGACCCTAGCTACAACAGTGGGGTGCATCAACAAGTGAAATAATATTAAAACAGAGACAAGACGCGGTAGTGTTCAGTAGATCTTTGGTGTCATCAGCCTTGGTGCCATACACAGACGACAGGTAGATGCGGTGCCGAAGCGTGAGATCTACTGCACACTTCTTTACTTCGATCCGCTTGTGTGTTGTTATCTTCACATCAAAAGCGTTCCGATCCAACTGGGACGGACGCGGACTCCTCCCGAGGCTACGTGACCACACAGGCCAACAAAAAAAAAAGGGCACGAAAACCGAACTAGAGAAGGAATTCAAAGGACGACCCAGAAAATGTACATGGCACGTTCAGCCGTTACCTTCTCTCATCGACCTTACTGTAGGATTGGAACGAGCCAGGATGAGATCCGTTACCTTACGTACGAATAATAATCATCCCACCCAGCGGGCTCGTTTCCACTTCGTTTTTCCCCCGCAAAAAAATAATGTAACACTTCCCGCTGTCAGTGAAATCAACTCCCTTTCGTGTGCAATTCAGCCAAGGCATCATCTTCAGACGGCAGTACAATAATACGGAATCGGTCCAACCGAGCAAATATATATAATATAAATTGTCCGTCACTAGCCCACTTCGCGATACCCCCTCCAACCCACCCGGCCTCAGAAATACTCGGAAACGCCACCGTATGACGTTTAAGAGTTCAGAAGTGCACGTCACACCGAACAAGGCCATGGAACGTACTCTCAATACCCTCCACAATTGTTTTCCAAACAACCGTCGCCACTTCAAGCACCACCATGTAATAGTTATATCTCTCACACGGCACCTGCAACGTGCCGGCTTCGCCGGATTTTCAAAGAAGCCGACTGTACAAGACGCATCAACGGCAAAACCACTACAGCACCATAATCCCCCTCAGCTACTCACGTACAGTGTGCGAAAAAGATGCTGCTCTTGTGAGCCTAGGCTTCAAGCCCGATTGCGCCACATCAAGGAGGTTTCCGATGCTTTCCTAAAAAACGCAAACCCTATCGTTTGGCTTGGTATGATCCTCGCCGGGTCAGATTGGGGGTGGGGAACGTCATATCATGTTGCGTACAGCAGGCCGTCAGGGACAAACCACCTCCACGAAAAGGATCGGGCAGGTCTTGCTCACAACAAACCGAATGATGAGTGCCTTCCCCCTACCTAGGTAGCTGATCCACACCAGCAAAAACGCTGCGCACAAGTCGTCTTATCCCCCACTTCTAGAACAAAACTTAAGCTCCACTTTCAAACAAATAACGTGTTCATGCATAATTCTCGAGGTGGGCGATCACATCACATCTCATCACAAGTGTGAAGTTCGTTTGGAACAAAAACATAGGAGGAGTCAACGCGAGGTTGCTCCGAGAAACGGGGAAATCCCTGCGGTAACGAAGGCCGGCTTTCGGGCTTGCGGAATGCCATACTTGACGTGAAAACGAGTTTTGCCTTATGCACAAACGCGCAAAAACTCGCGTGTGCCCCTTGGATAGGATTGGCTGCTCCAGTGTGAAGAGGGGGAGCTCATTTACGACCTCACCCTGCCACCCCTTGTCGGTGTCAAGATTTCAGGCACACACGGGCTAATGCCACGAGATCGGCGGCACCTCCCACTAGTTATCACAGGAAAGAAGACAAGGGAGACCCGGCTGCCCGATCGGCAAACGTCATCAAACGCACTTGCTGCCCGACCCGTAAGCGCCACTAAACACACTTGCAACGCCTTTCCCCCCTGAACCACGTGAAACAAAAACACCAACACCAACACCACCGAACACGAACAATAGCGCGACAAAAACACAGATTATATGCCTCAAAACACCCAACGCCCACCCACACCAATGTTTCTCGCCGCTGTGCGACCTCAAGCCCGCGAACGAACTCGAGCCACGGCTGTAAACCATAGGATGTTACCAGCCGTCCGTGAGATACATTCATCGGCATTCAGGATACGTTCGCCCTTCACGCTGCTGTTCAACTCTACACATCTCACCTATGGTACACATCATGCACGTTCGACAAAGAATGCACTTCATAACGGCGATATCGCATCGTGCGCTTTTCGTTCAAGCTGAAGCAGTCAAGAGCCGTCAGCTACCGCCCGCCGTTGCATCGGTACCGCTGTAGAGGTTAGCCTTGAACGCCTCGATCTCACTCACCCGCTTGTCGTGGGCGTCGCTCATCGTTTTCCGGAGCGTCTGCTTCATGGCCTCTAGTTTGGCCTCCACGGCCCTGCGTTCGGCCTCAAGAGGGGCGAGTTGCTTCCGACAGTACTCCTGGGCCTGTCTGTACGCTTGGTTTTGAATCGCCTCAAATTTCGCCAGCTCGATCTTTTTTCGGAGGCACTGGCTAGCAGCGCTTGTCGTGGTGGTGGGCGCCGGTCCGGGCCGCGCGCTCTTGCCGATGCCGGCGGCGGCGGCGGCAGGGAGACTTGGGGCAGGGGTAGAAACCGAACCGGCGGGGGCAGAAGAAGAATTGCAGGAGGGCGAAGCGGCAGCAGCGGCAGCGCCAACAGCAGCACTTGCGCATCCAGTGGTGCAAGAAGCAGCGCCAGCAGGGCCAGGCGTTCGTGGCGGTCCTCCGTTCGCGTTCGCCTGGGCCCCAGCGTCCTTCTTTCCCTCCCCTCTCCCCGCTTCCGCCCCCGCGCGCTGTGGGGCCGCCGTCCGCCCCCCACCAGACCTGGCACAGCCGACGACTTCACCACCAGAAACGCCAGTCATTCCTCCGGAAGCCGTGCCTAGCTTATCGCGCCCACGTCGCCGCTTACTCAGCGTAGACGTCGTCGCCGGGCCTCCGTTCGCCGCGTCCGCAGCGTCTCCGCGTCCGCCGGAGGGCTCAGCTGAGCGACGTTTACCACAGCTGCTCTTAGGGCCCACCCAGGCGCCAGCGTCTACAATGCTTAACGAAGGAGTGGAGAATAATTCGCATGAAGACGAGGAAGCCGAAGACGGCGAAATAGCGCGTCTCGCCGCGTCGCTCTCACCAGTGACGACCGCGGCGGGCTCCTTCCCCGGAGCGCTCGCGGTAAGAACCGCCGACGCCGATGCCGGGCTGGACGGTGACGGCGGCAACGGCGGTAATGGCACTACCGTATTCCGAGGCCAGTCGCGGCCGTCGCCGAAGGCAGGCGCTGTCTGAGGCCGAGTCGTTGTGCCACCATCGCCGACGTGATCTTGCCGTTGCTCGCTGCCGCCGCCTCTCCGTTCGCCGCACGCCGCTTTCGCGCTTCGCTCCTCGTCCGTGTCGGACACAATCACTGACTTTGGCAACCTTTCCACGACCACCGGCGCCACGGGCGCACTAGCATCGACCCCATCGACTTTCGACCGCCTCGGGGTAGATCTCCCGGGACTAGCAACAACGCCTTCTCTTGAGCTCCCCGGCCTCCCACCCGACGTATCCTTGAGCAGGCGCCTACGCTTGTCGCTAGATGGTGCGGCAGCTTTGGGTGATGGCATTGAAAGCTGCATCCCTCCCCCGCCACGGGCGCTGCCTTCGACCACCCCCTCGCCTGACGAGGAACGTGGGCGTTTTTTCGCGCCCTGAACGGACTCTCCTCTTTCATTGGGATGTTTCCCGCCTTCGCCTCTGCCCTGTTCTATCCCGCCTCTAACCTCGTCGCCCCCTCCCCCGGTGCTGGTGTGCCTCTCCGCCCCCCCACCCTCCCCTCCTTCGGTTGTCGCCGCTGATACTCCCACCCCACTCGCGGTTGGCTCCTTACCGCCCCCTGTCGGTTGTCCCTTCCCTCTACCACTGACTGGTCTTTTCCCGGTCGCTTGTCTGGAATTGGCGGAGCCCCCGCCACCCTCCGCCCCCGGATATTTTTTCACTGATGGTTGTGTTGCTCCTCCTGGGCATGTTTCTGCCCCACCGGCGCTCGCGGCCCCTCCTCTTGCGCCTGACGATGCTGCGGCCGCCGCTCCTCCCCTGTCGATAGTCGTGTTCTCTCCCCTCCCCTCCCCTCCACCCTTGTCCCCTCTGGCTTCTCCAACTCTTCCCGCTTCGCCTGTCTCGTGAACCCCTCCTTTTTCTCCTCCTCCTCCTCCCGCGGTGGGTTTCTTGGTCGAAGGCGAGACCTTGCTCGTGTTGGTAGTTTTTTTTCTGAGCGGGGGGGGGGGGCGCTGGCGCACCCGTCTCGCGGACCTCTCAGGTAGACTGTTGGCGTACCTTTCCTGAGAAGGGGGCGGGAAAAAAAACGAAAAAGCGATCCAGCGGTTGGTTCGTCATACGCGAAAAAAAAACAAACTGGATCTCGGGAAAGCGGTGTTAGGTTTCAAAACGCACTTGCCGATCCCTCACAACGTCCACAGGTGGCGCGCTCGTTGAGGGCTCTCTTTTGGACTGCAGGTGCACGTTGTTGGAGCTATGGCCATCGACAGTAGTGTCGATCACCAGTCAGGCTTCTGGCCACCTTTTGGTATCTTGCCCGAGCAAAAATACCGCGTCGTAGTCGACGTGGTGTATTTGGTAGCGTGCCGGCGTACTGCCATGCACAGCACCCCTATCGGACGAGCGCTGGTGGGACTGAGGAGGGTAAGCCCAGATGACACGGATTACCAAATGCCACCGTCCATGTTTGTACTATGCGTTGTGTTGCTCGCCGGTTGTTGGTACAGTATGTGCCTACGCTGGTGTTGTGTCCCGGTGGTGGGAGGCACTGCACTCAAGCACACAGCAGGTCGGCTGAACTTGCTACACAAGAACCCTCGAGCAAAGTCGTCGACCAACAAGCAAGCTTGCCGAAACACAAACAGAAATGCTGTAGGTCGAACGTCTGCACTTTCCAGACGACTACCTTAGATTCTCCAAACCGCCATGGTTACACTGCGGCACTCAGCGTAGCTCAGCGACGGCCGATCGGAAAGTCAGGGGAGGTTCTGCATTGTTATTGGGAGCGTGCCGCTCTTCCCGCACCGCCCGTTTTTCGGGGCAACGTTTCGCCTCCCTGGGATCCCAAGCAGTATACGACGACCGCACATGCCTAAAAACAATTGCAGGAGCTCCCGCGCCAAGGTTACCCAAGTACTACAGAGGTTACACAGTTGCTAGCCGATATTGTTCATTTCCAACACCGTCATCTCTTCGACGTCAGCGTGCGGGTGCGGGGAGCGACAAATATGGGGATAGGAGGGGGAGAGGGGGGTGTGCGCCGCAACATGATGGTGCGCTGAATGCTTGTTCGCTAGGGCTATTCCAAGGTATACTGCTGTACTGTAGTGCACGCAAACCTCGGTGCACACGTCGACAAAAGCAGGGGCACTTCTCACTGGTTTCGAGGGCTGTAACACAACCATCAATCAAGGCGATTTTTTCTTGTCAAGAAACCGGACATACTGCTGCCGTTGGCAGCTGCTCTTACCCGTCACCGTTGTCCGCTTTGGGTTGCCCACCCCCACACTGAACTTGGTCCAGAGGACCCCCAAACCTAATATCTGGCCGGGGCCGAAACGTGTGCATAAAAAAAACAACCCCACCGCCTCCTTCTACACGTAGAAGTTTACCCCGGGAGGTGTTTCTCTTGAGTATTTCGGGGGGCAGTGCGTGTGCAACAAAACCCACACCGTGCGACGTATACACACCGCCGGCCAGACCAAAGCAGATCATGAAACTCGTCAGTCTAAGCAAAAGCTCCCATCAGGGGTCTCACAGAGGAAGGGTGCCTGTACGGTGCTTGCCTTGCCTTTACTACTGCTGGCTGATGTACGCTCTCTCTCTCTCTCTCTCTCTCTCTCTCTCTCTCTCTCTNCCTCTCTCTCTCTCTCTCTCTCTCTCTCTCTCTCTCTCTCTCTCTCTCTCTCCATCTCTCTCTCTCTCTCTGTACGCGAAGAAAGTCGAATGGGACTAAACAAGCAGTCGGCTACCGACCGTTTTTACAACAGCCAAGAAGCTCCGGGACAAATCGTGGTCCAGAATCGTGGTTCAGAAGGGAGGGCAAAGCCTGACAACGAACGACACATGCATAACGTCTTTGGACAAGACAAACCAGCAGGTGTCATGCCGATGTACGTGCGCTTACATCCAGGTGCTTCCGTAATGCCGTGGGTCACAACAAAAACAGAAGAGGAGTGGCCAAAATCGGGTGCACCCGCCCCCAATCCGGCCATTGTCGGGTTCACTTGTTTCTCACAGTCGGCAGCGCCCTCCTGGCGCCATCTGATTGGCCGACGCCCGCCCCTACCCGGCCCTGACCCTATTCCCACCGGGTGCACTCGATCTTGGCTACTCAAACCCCCGGAGGGGTACCCGATCTTACTCTCGCCTACCCGAAAATGTCTGGGCTATTCGACCAACAGACCACCAGCAGACCACGCTCACGAACACCAGTCACCGACACCCCGCACTCGAGTTCCGACGCTTCCGACGGCGGGCGGAGGCGGAACTAACGCGGCTAACGCGGCGGAACTCTCGTTTGAAGTGGATCAGTGGATCTCTCTCCTGCAACGCGGCGGAATTCTCGTTTGAGGTAGATCTCGCTTCTGCAAGTAGATCTCGCTCCTCAACCCACCAAGTCTCTCGTGGTTAATCTCGGCACTCGTACCTGAACGGTCTACTGGAATCGGCAGAATATGAGCGATGAAGTAGAGAATACCGCGGTCCTCGCGCAAGGTGCGTGCTACTTCACCACCAGCCATCTTAGGACAGCGTTCATTCTGCGTGTACCACCCCTCTCTCTTATCTTTCCCCATCTATCTCCTGTGGCAAGCCCACAGTTCCTTGTCTCTCCCACGTACTCACGAGAGATCGAAGTCAAGGAAGTATTATCGCTGTTTAATCTGAGGTCCCACGGCATCCACTGCTTGCTGCTGCTGCATTACTGTACGATCCTCTTCCTACACAACAATGTGTCATATATCTCCGGTCTTGATCGAGACATAACCACGGCATCCACTGCTTGCTGCTGCTGCATTGCTGTGTACGAACGACCCTCTGCGTACACAACAACGTGCCATACATCTCCGGTCTTGATGTGTCTATACATGTATTCCAGACGAAAGCGACACCCTGATGCTTCTGTGCCTGACGCTTCCGTGGACATATCTGAGGTGCGTCATGTATTTGTATGCAGCTCAAGTGATCACGTGAGGTATTGAGAGGTATTCCTCCACCGCCGCCCGCCTGGCCCTCTCTCTCCTCCCTCTCCGATACGAAACGAGAACCGAAAGATTTCCGCCGTCGGCGGTGGGTTGCAGGAGGAGTCTTGCAGGAGAGAGATCCACTTCAAACGAGAGTTCCGCCGCGTTAGCCGCGTTAGTTCCGCCTCCGCCCGCCGTCGGAAGCGTCGGAACTCGAGTGCGGGGTGTTGGTGACTGGTGTTCGTGAGCGTGGTCTGCTGGTGGTCTGTTGGTCGAATAGCCCAGCCATTTTCGGGTAGGCGAGAGTAAGATCGGGCACCCCTCCGGGGGGTGAGTAGCCAAGATCGAGTGCACCCGGTGGGAAAAGGGTCAGGGCCGGGTAGGGGCGGGCGTCGGCCAATCAGATGGCGCCAGGAGGGCGCTGCCGACTGTGAGAAACAAGTGTAACCGATAATGGCTGGATTGGGGCCGAGTGTACCCGATTTTGGCCACTCCTAAAAAAAAAACGTTGGTTCACCCGTGTGCCTGTTTTTTTTTCGTATTATTATTACACAACAAATCCATCTATATCTATAGAAATACGTCTAAGATAGATTAGCAATGAATCCATAGCGTGAGCGAAAGGCTACCTGTATGTCTACGGTTTCCCAGACAGCACACAACGATAACTCCCCTGTGGGAAACAGGCTCAACAAGGCAGTTTGGTAGCCATCTTGTTGTTGTTGTTGTTTCTCTCCCATCATTGGACTCTGCCGTCTGCCCCTCTAGCCCCTATCCTCCACTTCTACTGGCTACACGACCCAACCGGGGTCACATAGGGGGGGGGGGTTGGACCCCCTCCTGCGGTTCATGCCTGAGGTATTTTTATCGCGAGAAGGGTACAGCAATCCCTTCCCTCGCGACTTACGAAGTCGATTATGGTTTACTAACAAACGAGCTTTGCAGCGCGTCGCTTTCATCCTAGACCAGGATTTATTTAGTGAGAAAAAACTCTCCCTGCCGGGACTCGAACCCATGACCTGGCCCTTAGCAGGCTGCGAGGCTACCCACTAGACCACCTGGGCGACCGGTTGTGTATCTATCTGTATGTTATGTTGGGAAGTTGTTGACGGAAGACCTGTTTGTTATAATGTACGGAGTAACAATGAAGTGTAGCACTGAATTGAGAACGGCCGTTCCGGCATGCAACGTAAAATGCCGTAAGACAGTACATGCCACGTGGACGACGGCGTACATCACACGCCGGGGAGGTAGGAAAGGGCGGGTCATCGTGTGCGTGGGAAGAAAGAACCGGACCACCTTTGCCGACGCGGAGAGAGAAGAAACACAGAGACGGATGAAAGTCACCAACTGCAACAGTAAGGATGTACACAACAAGCGACACACGTTGCGCACCTGTTGGCAGTGCCCTTTGTCGATGCAGAGACCCAGGGAGAACCCTGCACACTCGTCACAGCTGACAATGAACGTGACTCCATCGCCCGAGTTGAGCGTCGAGTCCGGGTCCAAGTCTCCAAAGGTTCCGAGCCGTTCCGTCTGTTTGGGCAGGACGTGGTTCTTCTGCAGCTCGGAACGAGCAGAGAGTATCCCGACGCCATCTCGCGCACCCCCGGCGTCGACCAGCTCAACCTCGCGATGGTGCGCGTTCATCTTGTAGCATGAAAACACCCCGTTGAAACTTGCAACTCTCTGGCTTCGACAGAACGAGCAAGGAGCCATGCGCCACCATCGTTGGGCAGCGCCGTTGCTGGTGCTGGTGCTGGTGCTGGTGCAGGTGCTGCTGGTGCTGGTGCTGGTGCTGCGGCGGGTGTTGAGATTCAGCTTCACAGATCTTGAAAGATCTGTGGACGCTGCCCCCGATAAGGGAGCCGCCATGGCAGAGATAAAGCCACGGGGCACCCGACTCTCCTATAACGGACACCAACCTCTAAATAACAACTGCAACGCCCATTACGCCTACCAGGCTGCCCGCCGCCGGCCAGGGGGCTTGGTTTGGTTCGAACACAAATGGGGGGACGACAGCAGTCTCAGCAGTTCCCAGCCGTTCGCCCCCTTTCCCGCCAAATTCAGCCATTTTAAAAGAACACCGGCATTCTGCACCAGCGAAGCACCCACCGTCCGTTTTCGTCAATTGAATAGAGTGTATGTTGCATGTCCTCATTCCGTCTTCTTCTGTATGTTGCATGTCCTCATTGCGTGTGTACTAGGTGTTCTGATTGAACAGCGGCAGCACCCCACTTCTCGCAACAACCATATTACTCCGAAAATACAACCCTGTGGTACCACGGCCGTGCGTGAACGCGTGAGCATGAAGATCACGGCACATCAGACCTTTCCTCGCACCATCAGGACTAGACTAGTCTACAGCAGTAGTAGGATGACGCGAGAGACGAGACATTTCCCAGTTTCGTTGAGGTGCCCAAAGTAGAGAGCGAGCATTGGAAACCATTGTAGAATGGCACAACTGAAGAAACCCCTGATGTATGCCGATGATGCCCCAAGTTTTTTCAAAAACGTGCGAGTGCACACACATGCATTCGATGAGAGGGAAGAGAGTAGCCTTCAACATCCCGCCGCCCTTTTTTTTTTACGGTTTCAAAAAGTTGTTCCGTTCCGTCGAAACAAGCCGACGTACACATATATCCAGCGAAAAGATCCACAGGGCGGCTCTCTCGTACATTCGTTCCCACACAGCAATAGATGGACGGGTCTTTAAGACTCCACCGTTACTCATTGCCGTGCCGAAACAACCGATGGGAGAGGTATTCCCCGCCGCGCTCGGAGGGGCCTCCAAAACTCTCCAGCTCGTGAGCGACGGCGACGGCAACAACAACAGTCAACAGCATCCACATGAAAGATCGCCGATGCCTGTTCCGGCACCATTTCCGCCACCACAGACCATTTCCAATGGTACCAGCACCAGCGGGGGTTGCCTTGATGGGGCAGGGAGTAGGCATGATGCTGTGTCGACGGACTTCAGCGATCGGAAGAGCTCGGAGCGCCCTTCATCGTTGATCGGAATCGGTCCCGACTCGCCTACTTTCGTATCTTCACCAACGGGAATTCTCACGATTTCTACCGGGCTGTCTCCAACCAAAGGCCCCTACAAGGACTCTCTCGCCTCCGCTCCGTCTGGCTCGCCCGGTCCTGTAGGTTATTATCCAACGTCAAGCTGTGGACAGCCATCACAAATCATGGCTCCAATGCACGCAGGAGCTGGTGGTATTTTTAGGCCTGCCGCCGTCTTCGAGCCGCACAATAATATCTTTGGCCCGTCCCCTCCTGAGCGTCCGTTGTACATGACTACAAGACCTGCCGCAGTTGAATCAACAGAAGTTGAGTATAGGAGTCGGCCAGATGGGTCGGCGCCAAGCACGGCTGCAGGGCTGCAACAGGGGGAAATCAGGATCAAGGACTCGTTGCAAGGAAAAGGGCAAGCTACATCTTTAGCTTCACTGGACAGCGCTTCCTTCTTTGCGATGGCACCGTCAACTCCACCTTCGTCAGGGCAGTCGTCGGATCTCGCTGACCTGAGCCAGTCCGAGCTGGCCAACAAAATGCTTCGTCGATCCCCGACTTCTGTTACTGCAGCCGGTGGTGCAAAAACACTGATGGTGCCAGTCTTAGCACAGCAGAAGCGACAAGCCACCGACAACACCGACGGCAACGGTGCACTCGGAGGGTTCGACAAAACCTGCAACGGTCGTTTGGTAGATGGCCGCGGCTCCAATCGTTTTCCTGCCGTCGTGGGATATCTGGGCGCAGGACTTGCTGGCGGCGGTTCCCATGGTACCATTGACTGTTCTAGCATCCAAAGCGGTGGCGGTAGCCTTGTTGTGGACGCAGTGGATGGTGCTGGTCGCGGTTGTGGGGAGAGCGGCAACGGGTGCTCTGAAGGGGAGGGAGAGGGACATGGAGACAGAATCGGGAGTATGGCTGCCAGGGTTGCGCCTGGGAAACAGCCACCACGCCGGTTGCCTAGCACTGGTGAGAAAGGCATTCTGCCGGTCGGGGTCTCATAAGCATGGATAGACAAGCGACTCGGATGGTGGCAAAAATAGTGCTACTTTAGAACTTGGCCTTACACTACAATAGGTACGCTTCGGAAGGCATGTTTGAACAAAGTACCGTGAAGAAGGACCACGTTTCTCGCAGTTTTCTCGAGCTGCCTCTGACTTCTCCCGCCGGTTGCTCCTTGTAGCGGCGAGGGACACTTTGCCTTGACTTAGGCCACGACTAATCAATGCTGGCGATACTCCATAGGTGTGCCACCCCGTCCCTCTCACCGTAATGTCGGTACGCCTGTTGTTTGGTGTTCAAAGGCCGATGCTTTGTCTCACTCGAAATCACTCTCTCCGCATGTCTGCACCTGTTTCTTCGCATGCCCCCCTTGAAAACTTTGTCCCGGAACGTCAAGTGGTGCTGCGGACAGCCTGTAACGAGTGCGCAATGAAAAAGGTGGGCACTCCTTCTGCACTGTTGCTTCTCCTCTTCCTCATAGTGTATCCCTCCTCCAGACGTCACGGAGTCCGTATTAGAACTCACCCTTTGTCATTTGATAAAAAGCAGTTGCTGGTTGATTTCTAAGCTTGACCGTAGGCGGTTCAGTTAGCACATGCACGCACTTACGCACGAACGCACGCACGTATGCTCTAGGGCTCTAATGCGTGTTTTGTTCCTTTTTGAACTCTGGCCGCAGACCAAGTGCGATGGAACCAAGCCTTGCGTGAGCTGCAAGAGAAAGGGCGTGTCCTGCGAGTTCAGCCTGTCTCAGAAAAAGAGTAAACTTCCTAATCCCACGAAGGTGACAGACGGACCCACCGTAGCTCCCTTCCGGCGGAGAAGGTTATGCTTCTAAACGGCTTTCATGGGGCATATGGACTCCATTTCAGTGTGCATTACTTTTGTAGGAGAAAATGTCTTCCCCTCGGCCAGATGTACTCGTTTTGATGCAAGAAATACCGCGCCCCTTGAGCGGAGCTCTCCGCCCGCGACATGCTCACAACGTGGGTATCACCACCTCCTCCCCGGTGCAATCGCGCTTCCACCCCGTCATGCACACACCAGCTCCCTATCTCGTCAACGCGCAACAAGGTCGGCCGTAACATGATGGCTTGTCGCGAGGGTGGCATCATTTCGACTCCTCCTTCGACTGTCATCAGAAGCCTAGCCGGAGATGGTGGCAGTGAAGGCCCGTCCGGAAGATCAGGGCCCCCCTTCGGATTGTCGCGACCGCTCGCTGCCTACGACGGAGCTCCCCCCAACGGAGGAAGAGGAGTCCGAGGAAGCCGAGGGGGGAAAGGGGCAAGAGGAGGGAGAGGGTGGAGGGGAGGACGACGAGGTAGAGGAGGAAAAGGAGATTATGCCGTTTCTGGTGTCGGTGATGGTGGTGATGGCGCTGGTCCTCGCGGTGCCGTTGGGATTGGTGGCTCGACACCTTCATCGTCACCGGGAGGCGCAGCTTGGTCACGCGGCGGAACATCCCCACCCCGAGGTTACGATTCAGCGTGGTCGAGCAGGAGCACCCCATCGTCAGTCTTTGCACCGTCTCATGGCGTAGAGCTCGCGTCTTCCTCGCTTGCTGGCGACACACCAACCACTTCATCACCGACGTCATCAGCCCCCCTCTCGCCCCGTAGCGGCGAATCGACAACACCACAATCTTCCCGCGGCGCCTTCTCGTTGCGAGGGCCCCTGCGTGCAAGTAGCCCCGCTGTTCGCGGAGCGTCACGAGGAATCTCGACGGGTGCCGCTAGGGGCGGGTTGCGGGGTCGCGGTCGAGGCAGAGGAGGACGCGGGAAAGGTAGGGGGCGCGCCGGTGCAGGCGCGGTGGTCCCTCCGATAGATAGTGGATCCGACCTTAGCTTCGTGGAGGCGGAGTCATCACTGGCCGGAGGGAAGCACCTTGACAGAGATGGCTGCGAGACCGATGGAGGCAGTTCGGGACAAATAGGGGCGAGTGAGAACTGCATCACGACATTCGCTGGGGGGCAGCAAGGACAGGAGCAGAGAGACCCGACTTCGCCGCAGCTGCACGGAAGTCCTCCACAAGCACAACCGGGACAACAGCAGGTGTGTGTGTATTAGTTGTACATCGGCACTGCCGTGCGCTCCCCAGTAAAAAGAGATACCCTATGCGTATTGGTCTGATTGACTTACCGCCGACAAGTGCTTTCGGTATTGCCAGATATAGCCAGAACGGAACCGTGACGCATTTCCTACCCCGTTCTCCTATGGGACAACTCAAACAATTCGCTTCCTCACGAATCCCCATTCTACCTTCGTCCGCATCCTGCGAGTTTAGGCGAACGCGTGTCCACCCGTAAGACACCCAAGACGCAACAAGGAACAACATATCCCCCATATCCTCCTGGTTTGCTGTACCATGAGCCACACTGGACAAGAAGCGAATTTTGCCACAACCACCCCAACAAAAACGATCACAAGTCCAACCAAACCGTTAGTGCATCTGCGAGCACAAACAGCGACATGTTCCGGAGTATAGGGTATACTACATGATGTTCTGTTGTTGCTATGGCTGCACAGTATGCCTTTTAAACAACCAGCGGAAACGAAACTCGACAGGCGGTCCCCGCCGCTTCCGGCCTACCCGACGAGCAAGAGGAGGAGGAAAAAAACCCGGGCGATGGGCGAAACGAGATGTTGTTTCCGACGATGTACCGACACCAGCAGCAACCGACCCCTCACCATGGAGACCAACAGAGGCACAGAAACAACGCAAACCAAAGCAAGGCCACCCTCGTCGGGAAAATCGAGGAGCAAAATCGAGAAGAAGACAGAACCGAGGACGAAACCGCCAAGGGCGCCCCGACGGAGAGCGACCTGCTGCAGCATAAAATACGAGACGGAACACT